AGACGGCAGTAGTGCAGCACTCACTGAGGTGTCTGGCGTGGAGAACTTCCATCCACAACTCCCCAACCGACCAAGAGACAAGTACTTAACAATTGAAAAAGCTACCTGATGTGCAAGAATGCCTCCCAAGAAGTCGCCCTCCATCAATGACTCACCCTGGTTTACACTTTGTATCTTTTGAATGCCTCTCTACTTCCATCAATCTTATCCACCTCTCAAATGCCTACTTGCGTGGACTTTGTCTCGCTGGTCTAGAGCCGAACTTTGTATCCCACAAATGTTTGCAAGCTCTCCTCATAAACCTTACAATTGAAGAAGGCAAACTCAAGCGACGCAGTCTACTTGAGGCTATTCAACATTGAGAAATGTGCCACAGTGGATTTAGCGAATTGTGAGTGGGTGATAAACCAATGAGAAGCTGTTGTCTAGCCGGGTAGGACTACGCATGAATAAAAGAGTGATGCGAAACTATCGGCAGAGTATGCAAATTAGCGAGTGAATTTGTGTTGTGCATCCGCACCATCACGTGTTTGTGCGTGAATCAGTTCCGCTCTCTCTCTCTCTCTCTCAGGCAGAGAGAAGAGTAGAAACAGGAGCAAGGGAAGGAGGGGTGATGTGGGCCGAAGTAGAGAAAGGAGGAGGAGGAGGAGGAGGAGAAAGAGGGGTTGACATGAGTCATCCAATCAAATGTCAGCTAGCGCCTATCCAAGTAAACATTGAGAGAAATCGACATTGAAGGAGATATTTCTTGTGAAATACTTGCACATTTCTGCCTACCAAATTGATCACTGTCGGCCACATTTCTCTTTTCCTTACCCTCGCCTCCCTCTCTTCCAACACCAATTTTCACACATTTAATGTTTCTGTGCACACAGAGGCAGTAGACCGATACCTCCTTTTTATGAGCAAACAATCATGGAAATGTCAGGTAATGCGAACGTGGGAGGAACCTGTATGACCTTTACCACAACCCAAATGATACGCCTAATTGCCAGTTAAATCATTAAGGAGGATCAATGGGAGGATAAAACATTTCCAACAATTGTTTGACTTTATAGAAAACTCGAAAAGGGAACATGTTTTACCACATAAATAAATTAATTCCAGTGCATGTTCCACCATCGAACAATTAACGGTACCTTGAAGGCAAATTCCTGTAAAAAAGACGCTGATAATGCATATATTACATCAGAAGAACGAATGAAGGAGGGAAGGAGATGGAGAGCGCTATTGTTACCTCACTTCAGCAGTGCGCTCTTTCATGTGGTCAAATCCATCCTCCTCACTACCTTACTGGTTAAAAAATGGAAATGCCAAGGGTGTTGGATGCCTCCTCCTGCTCCTTTCCCTCTACCACCACGTCCCATCTCACCAGTTCATCAACATCTACTCTTTGTTTAGCACTTGCAACCGAGGTTGCGTTAACTGTCGCACCGCGCCAGGTGGCAATGCCACACTGCAACAATAAATTATTCGCGCGCATGTTAAGATAGGGAGAGAGAGAGAGAGAAGAGTAGAAGGAAGGAGCTTGACATGCTCAACTGCGCTTTGCCTTGATTGTACGCACAACCACCCACACGACCGCTTTACACCTTGGCACACACACACACACACATGCACACACAGCACCTCAGGCGTGTGGTGTGTGTGTGTGTGTGTGCAAAGAAGGTGCGGGCAGACTTCTGCTGGGCATTAGTTACTAAAACAGAGGCAATTATGGTGGAGAGGTGTGATAATGCAATAGAGGGACGCAAGGGGCGGAGGCCGAGGAGGGGAGAGGAGGGAGGTGAAATAATGTGCAGGAAAGTGGCGCAGCAAACACACCATTCCCATGGCATTAATGGCTCACGGTGGTGCGCGAGTGCACTGCCGTTTTGTTGGGCTGACAGCAGAAAAGCCCACTGTGCCTCCGTCAAAGCAATTTACATGCGTACAGAATTGTTTTCCAGACAATTTTCGGATACAGAAAGCACAGGCGTTGTGAGGGATTGGGGAGTGGGTTTGTGTGTGCATCACACAGTGTCACCACACCCTCACGTCAGACAGAAGGCGAGTGTTGAGAAGGAGGAGGAGAAGAAGGCACAAAAGGAGGAAGAAGGTGGTGGTGGTGGTGGAGGAGGAGGAGGAGAAGGAGAAGGCGAGGAAGGAAGGAAGGAAGGAAGGAAGGCAGGAAGTTGATTTGCTTGCAGCACGAGGAGTGAGTGAGTGAGTCAGTGGTGTTGGTGTTGTGGAGGGAGAGGAAGTGCATGCAGAGGGAAGGTAGAGTGACATTTACTGCTAGATGGACAGGCGTGCACTGGAGGCCGACTGAGTGATTGGCATGCGCTGACCTCAACAGGCTCTCAGATTGTGCGCACAGATTACCTCACATGCCCACCACATTGTAATCAGTGCACACACGGACGTGCGCTTACAAGAGACACTCCAAAACCCAACGCCGACCACGAGGGTAAAGCAGGCGAAAGGAAGATGATGATGAAGGGGAAGAAGAAAACGGCAAGGAGGAGGAAAGAGAAGATGAAGAAGGTCGAGAGAGAGGAAGAGCGGTAATGAGGGAGGGACAGAAAGAGAGAAAGGAGGGAAGAAAAGAAGGAAGGAAGGAGAAGGCTTGACAAGGAAGTGCGCTATTGACGTGATTTGGGCAACTGTTTTGGCCCTGAAGTTGGTGTAAAAAGGCAATTTGCAAAGGCGTGTAGGAATGGAAAAATGTGTGCATGAAATCAATCACCATCACAAAAGCAGGCACATGTACTAAAAGGTGTGCTGCTCCTCCTCCTCCTCCTCCTCCTCTACTTATTCTTCTTCCTCCTCCTCCTCGTCCTCCATCTCTTCTCTCCTCTTTGAGGGCAAAACTGCCATTTAGTACCACATCAAATGGGAACAACGCTGCTGCCAGAACGTCTACTTCTTTGCCACAAGGAACGTGCGATTAAATTAGCATTACAAACCACTACCACCACCACCACCACCACCACCACCACCATCATTGCCACCGCCACATTTGCAGAAGGCGAGGTGGTGACGAGGGATGGAGCGAAGGGCGCAAGTGGAATGCCCGGTGCGGGATTGTGGCCTCGACATCACCAGTGCACCAAAGGTGGGATGACTGTGTGAGACAGCAGAGGAGGCAGCGAAGGAGGCAAGACCGACCATTCGTCATGCCACCGACATGCAACCGGTGTACAGCGTTCTCCTCTCCACACACTCCGCTGTGACTGGTGCGAGGACCAAAAGGATGCGGTCATGTTGTGCACGCAGTCACCACCGTTACGCACAGTTGGCGGTGTTTTTGGTGTCGAGGCCACCGCGCACCCATCCATCCATCCACCCTCTCACTCACTCACTCACGCACACACGCACTCATTTGGAATGTCTTGAATGTCGAACTTCCTACCGCTGTCGGTTGGTGGTGATGGTGATGCTACCTCTGAGAGCTTCAAGTCGCAGTGATGCAGTGTCACGCAGCCAACGTTCATTAATATTGCTACATTCTTCCTCTCGTTGGTGTTGCCCCCTGGCCTGGTATTTTGAAGCAATCATCAACTCACTGCTTCATTAATTATTCATCTCTCCTCCATCCCTCCGACCCTTGATCTGTC